TTGAAGTTCGAATCAATGATGTCATTGTACTGACCCGACTAACAAGTATTTTGAAGGAAGTTTTATTCAATTTACTTGATTGACACAAACGACGTTATCAGTTTTGAATGCGAAAACGGAACGTAAATGGTATATAAGGTCCGAATCTACAAAATGGCCACTACTTTCATCAGAGATGTCTTTCCAAAGAAATATCCAATATTTTCTGAATGCCGAACTCCGAAACTTATGTGTACAGCTACATGTTTGGGCAGCTGGGGTCAGGGTGCCTCGACCACAATGCAGATTTCCTACGAATCAATATGTCTGTTCTAGCTAGTTTAGCCAGCAGGGATACACCAAGCAGGAGCTGACTTGTGGGCTTACTCCAAACAGCAACGTTAACCCTTGGAGTTTTAACAGCATAAAACATTAGGTAATTGTGAGTGAGTGAGTGAGTGAGTGTGTGAGTGAGTGAGTGAGTGAGTGAGTGAGTGAGTGAGTAGGGCATAGCTTATAGGCAGACAAATATTTGTTTTGATAGAAAAAATATTCATGAAATTCATGCATTTTTACATTATCTCGTCATTTGTATTATATGCGTATCGTGTGAATCATAGCTTTTGGTCCTAACTAGCTTGTCCGCTACCTGTGTTGTCAGTTCTGGTCAGTAGGTCACACGCTGCAGCTGTCATCACTATGACATTTCAGTTGTCATCAAAACATACATGTTTGTGTCACCTGGTGTCAGCCTGTCATCCCCCGTGGGTACTGTAGACTGCTTCAGGGGAATGTATGGGGAATTGTAGATATACACTGGTGGGGAATTGTAGATATACACTGCTTCAGAGGAATGTATGGGGAATTGTAGATATACACTGGTGGGGAATTATAGATATACACTGCTTCAGGGGAATGTATGAGGAATTGTAGATATACACTGGTGGGGAATTGTAGATATACACTGGTGGGGAACAGTAGATATACACTGGTGGGGAATTGTAGATATACACTGGTGGGGAATTGTAGATATACACTGCTTCAGGGGAATGTATGAGGAATTGTAGATATACACTGGTGGGGAATTGTAGATATACACTGGTCGGGAACTGAGGATATACACTGGTGGGGAACTAGATATACACTGGTGGGGAATTGTAGATATACACTGCTTCAGAGGAATGTATGGGGAATTGTAGATATACACTGGTGGGGAACTGTAGATATACACTGGTGGGGAACTGTAGATATACACTGGTGGGGAACTGTAGATATACACTGGTGGGGAATTGTAGATATACACTGGTGGGGAACTGTAGATATACACTGCTACAGAGGAATGTATAGGGAATTGTAGATATACACTGGTGGGGAATTGTAGATATACACTGCTTCAGAGGAACGTATGGGGAATTGTAGATATACACTGGTGGGGAACTGTAGATATACACTGGTGGGGAACTGTAGATATACACTGGTGGGGAACTGTAGATATACACTGGTGGGGAATTGTAGATATACACTGGTGGGGAACTGTAGATATACACTGCTTCAGAGGAATGTATAGGGAATTGTAGATATACACTGGAGGGGAACTGTAGATATACACTGGTGGGAAACTGTAGATATACACTGGTGGGGAACTGTAGATATACACTGGTGGGGAATTGTAGATATACACTGGTGGGGAACTGTAGATATACACTGGTGGGGAACTCTAGATATACACTGGTGGGGAACTGAAGATATACACTGCTTCAGAGGAATGTATGGGGAATTGTAGATATACACTGGAGGGGAACTGTAGATATACACTGGTGGGAAACTGTAGATATACACTGCTTCAGAGGAATGTATAGGGAATTGTATATATACACTGGAGGGGAACTGTAGATATACACTGGTGGGGAACTGTAGATATACACTGGTGGGGAACTGTAGATATACACTGCTTCAGAGGAATGTATAGGGAATTGTAGATATACACTGGAGGGGAACTGTAGATATACACTGGTGGGAAACTGTAGATATACACTGGTGGGGAATTGTAGATATACACTGGTGGGGAACTGTAGATATACACTGGTGGGGAACTGTAGATATACACTGGTGGGGAATTGTAGATATACACTGATGGGGAATTGTAGATATACAGTGGTTCAGAGGAATGTATGGGGAATTGTAGATATACACTGGTGGAGAATTGTAGATATACACTGGTGGGGAATTGTAGATATACACTGGTGGGGAACTGTAGATATACACTGCTTCAGAGGAATGTATGGGGAATTGTAGATATACACTGGTGGGGAATTGTAGATATACACTGGTGGGGAATTGTAGATATACACTGGTGGGGAACTGTAGATATACACTGGTGGAGAATTGTAGAAATACACTGGTGGGGAACTGTAGATATACAGTGGTTCAGAGGAATGTATGGGGAATGGCAGATATACATTTTTGGGGAACTCTAGATATACACTGCTTCAGAGGAATGTTTGGGGAATTGTAGATATACACTGGTGGGGAATTGTAGATATACACTGGTGGGGAATTGGAGATATACACTGGTGGGGAACTGTAGATATACACTGCTTCAGAGGAATGTATGGGGAATTGTAGAAATACACTGATGGGGAACTGTAGATATACACTGGTGGGGAACTGTAGATATACACTGGTGGGGAACTGTAGATATACACTGGTGGGAAACTGTAGATATACACTGGTGGGGAACTGTAAATATACACTGGTGGGGAATTGTAGATATACACTGGTGGGGATCTGTAGATATACACTGGTGGGGAACTCTAGATATACACTGGTGGGGAACTGAAGATATACACTGCTTCAGAGGAATGTATGGGGAATTGTAGATATACACTGGAGGGGAACTGTAGATATACACTGGTGGGAAACTGTAGATATACACTGCTTCAGAGGAATGTATAGGGAATTGTAGATATACACTGGAGGGGAATTGTAGATATACACTGGTGGGGAATTGATGATATACACAGGTGGGGAATTGTAGATATACACTGCTTCAGAGGAATGTATGGGGAATTGTAGATATACACTGGTGGGGAACTGTAGATATACACTGGTGGGGAACTGTAGATATACACTGGCCGGGAACTGTAGATATACACTGGTCGGGAACAGTAGATATACACTGGTGGGGAATTGTAGATATACACTGGTGGGGAACTGTAGATATACACTGCTTCAGGGGAATGTATGGGGAATTGTAGATATACACTGGTGGGGAATTGTAGATATACACTGGTTGGGAATTGTAGATATACACTGTTTCAGAGGAATGTATGGGGAATTGTAGATATACACTGCTTCAGAGGAATTTATGGGGAATTGTAGATATACACCGCTTCAAGGGAATGTATGGGGAATTGTAGATATACACTGGTTCGGGGGAATGTATGGGGAATTGTAGATATACACTGCTTCAGAGGAATGTATGGGGAATTATAGATATACACTGCTTCAGGGGAATGTATTGAGAATTGTAGATATACACTGGTTCAGAGGAATGTATGGGGAATTGTAGATATACACTGGTGGTGAACTGTAGATATACACTGCTTCAGAGGAATGTATAGGGAATTGTAGATATACACAGGAGGGGAACTGTAGATATACACTGGTGGGAAACTGTAGATATACACTGATGGGGAACTGTAGATATACACTGGTGGGGAATTGTAGATATACACTGGTGGGAACTGTAGATATACACTGGTGGGGATTTCTAGATATACACTGGTGGGGAACTGTAGATATACAGTGGTTCAGAGGAATGTATGGGGAATTGTAGAAATACACTGGTGGGGAATTGTAGATATACACTGGTTCGGAGGAATGTATGGGGAATTGTAGATATACACTTGTTCGGAGGAATGTATGGGGAATGGTAGATATACACTGGTGGGGAACTGTAGATATACACTGGTGGGGAACTGTAGATATACACTGGTGGGGAATTGTAGATATGCACTGGTGGGGAATTGTAGATATACACTGTTGGGGGACTGTAGATATACAGTGGTGGGGAACTGTAGATATACACTGGTGGGGAATTGTAGATATACACTGGTGGGGAATTGTAGATATACACTGGTGGGGAATTGTAGATATACACTGGTGGGGAACTGTATATATACACTGGTGGGGAATTGTAGATATACAGTGGTTCAGAGGAATGTATAGGGAATTTTAGAAATACACTGGTTACAGTTCTTTTTACAAGTTTTCTACAGTGTTTAGTTCAAAAGTATCTGCCAAAGACGTATTTTAGGTTTTATTGTTTATTTGTAGATAACAGGAAAGCATTTGACTCTGTAAACAGAAACAAAATTGCCCCAGAAAAAGCTTGAAAAAATAATTAAGCTCCAGACAGTTGAAAAAAAGAAACTGCCAGCCACAAAAATACATTGTTGAAAAATACATCGTTGAAAGGTTTTTTTATGTAAATATATTTAGGCTCCTAGTTTTAGGTAAAAAGCTTTGTTTGGACAGATGCACCTGATAAAATATCTAGTCTCCAGACAAATTCCCAGCCCCGAACCCTAACGTAAGTAAATATACAACGCCAGAGAATAACCAGTCTCGATTCTCTCTGACCAAACAGATTCCATTGGGCGTAAAAGGCAAACTAGCGGTGAAAATTAAAATGAATGGATCACTGAAAATCGGTGTTGACAATATGTTATTATCTTTTGTTATTTTATCTTTTGAAAATAACATAATAAAGCAATGTAATGCATCACAATGACGAAGCAAACCAAATATATAAAATTGATTATCATACCGCTACACCTGATTATCATAAGGAATTATTCTGTTTATACTAATGACGCTGTATATATTCCTATCACACAACTCAACCTTCTTCAAAGACAGAGAGTGTTGTTTTATTGTACAAAATACATGAAGTTTCATTATTTGTATCACACATTCGATTTGTTGTGGTTGCAAGCAACCGTCGTCATTGACCATACCTTTCTCATTTCCTGGCGTAGGATGATGTTGAAGATGGTGGGTGTGATGATGCCGACAGCCAGAACCACGAGCCCGATGAAGCCCCACAGTACGGCGCACTTCTGTCCCATGTTGTCCCGTCAGATGTGAGCGTCGCACTGCATTAAATCTGCACTGAAACACACGTTATATCACCCGAGTGTGTTATCACGTGGCTCCTTCAGTTTCCCATATACAAGCATATTATCATGCGATAACGCAGAGTCCGACCTGATACAGAGGTGGGTGTTGATATTCAGTCCGTTCTACACTTCTACACTGACAGTGACGGGCTACCTCGCTTACCATGCTGTTGAATTGAGCTAACATTATTTTTACTTATTTTAATTCGAGGGTGAGGGTTGGGGTAGGCTTATGTATGTGTGTGTGTATGTATGTGTGTGTGCCTCTATGTCTATGTATCTCTATGTGTGTGCCTCTGTGTGTGTACATGTGTATATGTGTGTACATGTGTGTATGTGTGTATGTATCTATGTGTGTATGTATGTATGTATGTATGTATGTATGTATGTATGTATGTATGTATGTATGTATGTATGTATGTATGTATGTGTATGTGTGTATGTATGTGTGTGTGCCTCTATGTCTATATATCTCTATGTGTGTGCCTCAGTGTGTGTACATGTGTATATGTGTGTATGTGAGTGTGCCTCTGTGTGTATGTATGTGTGTGTATGTATGTGTGTGTGCCTCTATGTCTATGTATCTCTATGTGTATGCCTCTGTGTGTGTACGTGTGTGTATGTGTGTATATGAGTGTGCCTCTGTGTGTATGTATGTGTGTGTGTATGTATGTGTGTATGTCTCTATGTCTATGTATCTCTATGTGTATGCCTCTGTGTGTGTACATGTGTGTATGTGAGTGTGCCTCTGTGTGTATGTATGTGTGTGTGTATGTATGTGTGTATGTCTCTATGTCTATGTATCTCTATGTGTATGCCTCTGTGTGTGTACGTGTGTGTATGTGTGTATGTCAGTATGCCTCTGTGTGTATGTATGTGTGTGTGCCTCTATGTCTATGTATCTCTATGTGTGTGCCTCTGTGTGTGTACATGTGTATATGTGTGTATGTGAGTGTGCCTCTGTGTGTATGTATGTGTGTATGTATGTGTGTGTGCCTCTATGTCTATGTATCTCTATGTGTATGCCTCTGTTTGTGTAGGTGTGTGTATGTGTGTATGTGAGTGTGCCTCTGTGTGTATGTATGTGTGTGTGTGTATGTGTGTGTGCCTCTGTGTCTATGTATCTCTATGTGTATGCCTCTGTGTGTGTACATGTGTATATGTGTGTATGTATGTATGTGTGTATGTATGTATGTATGTGTGTGTATGTATGTGTGTGTGCCTCTATGTCTATGTATCTCTATGTGTGTGCCTCTGTGTGTGTACATGTGTGTATGTGTGTATGTGAGTGTGCCTCTGTGTGTGTATGTCTGTGTCGCTGCGTATGTGTGTGTATGTATGTGTGTATGTATGTGTGTGTGCCTCTGTGTGGATGTATGTATGTGTGTGTGTATGTATGTGTGTATGTATGTATGTGTGTCTGTGTATGTATGTGTGTGTATGTATGTGTGTGCCTCTATGTCTTTGTATCTCTATGTGTATGCCTCTCTGTGTGTAGGTGTGTGTATGTGTGTATGTGAGTGTGCCTCTGTGTGTATGTATGTGTGTGTGCCTCTATGTCTATGTATCTCTATGTGTATGCCTCTGTGTGTGTACATGTGTGTATGTGAGTGTGCCTCTGTGTGTATGTATGTGTGTGTGTATGTATGTGTGTGTGCCTCTATGTCTATGTATCTCTATGTGTGTGCCTCTGTGTGTGTACATGTGTGTATGTGTGTATGTGAGTGTGCCTCTGTGTGTATGTATGTGTGTGTATGTATGTGTGTGTGCCTCTATGTCTATGTATCTCTATGTGTATGCCTCTGTGTGTGTACATGTGTGTATGTGAGTATGCCTCTGTGTGTATGTATGTGTGTGTGTATGTATGTGTGTGTGCCTCTATGTCTATGTATCTCTATGTGTGTGCCTCTGTGTGTGTACATGTGTATGTGAGTGTGCCTCTGTGTGTATGTGTGTGTGTATGTATGTGTGTGTGCCTCTATGTCTATGTATCTTTATGGGTGTGCCTCTGTGTGTGTACATGTGTGTATGTGTGTATGTGTGTGTGCCTCTGTGTGTATGTATGTGTGTGTATGTATGTGTGTGTGCCTCTATGTCTATGTATCTATATGCTTATGCCTCTGTGTGTACATGTGTGTATGTGAGTGTGCCTCTGTGTGTATGTATGTGTGTGTATGTATGTGTGTGTGCCTCTATGTCTATATATCTCTATGTGAGTGCCTCTGTGTGTGTACATGTGTGTATGTGTGTATGTATGTATGTGTGTATGTATGTATGTGTGTGTGTATGTATGTGTGTGTGCTTCTATGTCTATGTATCTCTATGTGTATGCCTGTGTGTGTACATGTGTGTATGTATGTGTGTATGTATGTGTGTGTATGTATGTGTGTGTGCCTCTATGTATATGTATATCTATGTGTATGCCTCTGTGTGTGTACATGTGTGTATGTGAGTGTGCCTCTGTGTGTGTATGTCTGTGTCTGCGTATGTGTGTGCTTCTGTGTGTGTATGTATGTGTGTGTGCCTCTGTGTGGATGTATGTATGTGTGTGTGTATGTATGTGTGTATGTATGTATGTGTGTCTGTGTATGTATGTGTGTGTGTATGTATGTGTGTGCCTCTATGTCTATGTATCTCTGTGTGTGTGCCTCTGTGTGTGTACATGTGTGTATGTGTGTATGTGAGTGCCTCTGTGTGTGTATGTCTGTGTCTCTGCGTATATGTGTGCTTCTGTGTTTGTATGTGTGTGTGCCTGTGTGTATGTATGTGTGCCTCTGTGTGTGTTTGTGTGTGTGCCACTGTATGGATTTATGTGTATGTGTGTGATTCTGCACGTATGAATGAATGAATGAATGAATGAATGAATGAATGAATGAATACTCTTTATTTCCCCCCAATGATTTGGAGAGTAGTGTGTCTCTCTCTGTGTATGTGTATATGCCTCTGTGTGTATATGTGTGTGTATGGGTGTCTCTGTGTGTGCCTCTGTATGTGTATGTGTCTCTGTGTGTATGTGTGTGTGTGTCTCTGTGTGTTTAGTTATGTGTGTGTGCCTCTGTATGCGCGTGTCTGCATTTTAGTCTACAAACACAAATTGCTATTTGTTACAGGTCTGTTACACTCTACATGTTATGCTGTATATGTGTGACATGCTGCAGCTTTAAGACAAACACCTTATAGAATTCTCTGTATTTCACAGCGACTGGCAACGTTATTGGCAAATTATTTATACCAATGCACAAAGAAATATGCACACACCTTGTCGATATGGCTTTGAACATTATACATTTGACTGAAACCCATGACCTACTTTCATTCGATTATGAATCAGCTTTCCTATTAATCCGTCATAACTTCAAACAGTCGCTTCGTCGCCATCGTCATGGTCGTCGATGTTGTAGACGCTGAAGCGGTGTGCTGTCTCATTGTTACCACAATGCGCAGGTGCAATGACCCAGATTTTCAGAGGGTTATGTCGACCTGCTTGCGGATGTGGTATTTCGGAAACCTACTTGTTGGGTTTATACGTTATATGTATCTAGATGACATTATTATAATGTAGCACTGGGCAGAAAAAATGCGACAATTTCACTTGAGATTCGATCTTGTTATTACATAAAAAGGTACACATGTAGTGCTGCAAAAAAGTGCTCTGTTGCAATGCGATCTCTTGTTGCGAGAGACTCGCAAGTCACATGACCACACTGTTGGCAGACGACACGAAGTTAACAGCAAATAGGATGAACAGGAAATCTTGACTATTGGCATGAAATGAATCCGGTGTCCAGCCAGCAGAAAAGCTTAGCAAAATTGAGAGGGCTACATATAGCACAATTTTAGCGAGGTTTGAAACATCTAAAGGTGAAGGTGGTGATATTTTCCGTATTGGACAGAACCCACTGTGAAATTTAACTTACATGAGGCCACGTGTGTTTCTCGACTCGATCGGACGACTCTTAGCGCTTTGTACCATTGCAATACCATGCCACTATCCTGAATGTTATATTTAGCTTTGTTTTTTCATTAATTTCCAGTACCAAACGGAGCTTATTTCATAAGCGGATTACAATCACACACTATTATTATTATTATTGTTCTTGTTCTTGTTCTTGCTCTTGTTGTTATTTTCAGATTAAAATAAAACATGCAGCAAAGAGGGTTTGGGTGATCCTGGCACAGTCAGGCTGGTTAGGCTCATCATCAGTTCAGGGCCCCATCTACACGCAGCCCAGACAGCGAATGGGACTTCTCCCAGGAAGCGCTGCCTAGTCAAACCCAACCAGAACTTTTGAGAGAATGTGAAGACTCCCCACCACTGCAGCCTTCTGCATTACTCAGATTGTCAGAAGGGTTGTAAGGTAGCAAATCCAGGTACTCTCCCAATGTCAGTCAACAGATTGGGAGGTACCAAACCTAGGCACCGAGAACAATGGGGAATCGGACAACTTGGCACTTGGGATGCAGGCGTGACATTTCGAAAGCGAGGTCTGCGTATTTGACAGTCATGCTTTTCCTGAATTTTGTCAATCACATTAGTGTCAAAAGGAACAGAAAATTCAATGATATAAATGATTTCATTGGATTTATCAAAAAGAACAAGATCAGGTTTGTTGGCCTGGATACGACTGAGGCTGTATACGGGCCTATTCCAAAGAATTTTGTATTTCTCAATTTCCATGACGCCCTCTACATATTCTGGGTCGTACCATGGACGGACCTCTGTGTCAAAACCACAAGCATGGCGACGATGGTAATAAAATGATCGAGCCGCTCCGTCATGCCGCTAAGATACTGTGTTAAATTTGTGCAAAAGCTGGGCATCAACTGACAAAGTGTTGGGCAGTCTCATTAAATTCATTACATAATCTACATTTCATATTTACATTTTGATGCAAAATCACACATTGACGGTTTCGAGTTGGAAGTGACTGGATCTGAGAAGCAAACAGAAAGCCTTCTGTTTCACTTTTCAGGCTAGCCGACCTCATCCAAGACACAGCACATGAACTCGATGCAGTGGTCGTTCAGATAGCCTCTCCTTGAAAAAACCTTGAGTCTGGACCGATTTGATATGGCTCTTCATTTGGTTGACACTCATTTCTGTACCGTCCAGCAGTACAAAACCGTCAACATAGTCAACACTGACATTGAGATTATGTCACACATCCTTGGCTCGTTTACGAAAACTATGGAATGCCTTGTTTTTATCATGAGTCTTAACAAGCATCACAAGAGGATCCTCAGACAAATAAATGTGTGCAAAAGTGCACAAAACAATTCTATCATGAAGAGACCCAACGTTAATCAAACGACGCCCTCCCATAATGATTGGTAAATATAAGCGATTGAGGGAAGAGCGAGGGTGGTGGGATCTATTGTCTGACATGATTCTTCGTGTGAAGGTATTAATACCCTGCATTTCTTGTTTCGTCAAATTGACAGCACCAAAAGAATACGAAAGGACGAGTACAGCATAAGTAGTTGTGGCTTTAACTTTATTGGGAGCGTTCAGCTCTGAGTGAGTGAGTGAGTGAGTTTGATTTTACGCCGCTTTTAGCAATATTCCTGCAATATCACGGCGGGGGACACCATTGTACCCATGTCGGGAATCGAACCCGGGTCTTCGGCGTGACGAGCGAACGCTTTAACCACTAGGCTACCCGACCGCCCCGTTCAGCTCTGAACTCCCTAAGTCTAACTTTTGTATTGCCCGAAGTTTTTCCTTGATATGATCCATCTGGAGTTATGATCCTTATCTGAAGCCATAAGTACGTATAGGCCTATATAGGCATCTATACCTCTCATCACTTGGTTGTTGTCACTCCAGTTTGATATGGGTGTAAGAATCTACATCGAAACGTCGCTATAGGTAATAAACCAGAAGTTGTAATGCATAAAGTTGTACGGGTCTCTTGCCAACTTCTAGAATGCCAATCAAACAATTAGAAGCTAAAACTACATGGATAGTAAAGTCGTGCTTCAGTGGTATTGTAAAGTCAATTGTATAGGTATTGTAAGTAAGTGGAATCCCAGACTCGTTTCACAAATTACAAAAACACATGATAAAGAGCAAAGATTGTTATGTCAGAAATCGACTAAATTGATATGTTGATTGTACAGTAAACTACGGTTATAACGAACTCAAAAGGACTACTAACTTTAGTTCGTTATAACCGTAGTTCGTTATAAGCATATATACAGCATAACTACCGCAAATAGTCGGGACCAAAAAAGTAAGTTCGTTATATCCGTCTGTTCGTTATAAGCGTGTTCGTTATAACCGTAGTTTACTGTATCTATTTTGTTAAGAATATACAATCATGAACAAAGTAGTATTTGCATGAGTTTTAGTTTGATGTTAATTGTAATGCACTCAAATTCATTCCAGTAAAATACTACTAGACCTCTACTAGTTCTTCTGTGATTATAGGGGCGGTCGGGTAGCCTAGTGGTTAAAGCGTTCACTCGTCACGCCGAAGACCCGGGTTCGATTCTCGACATAGGTACAATGTGTGAAGCCCATTTCTGGTGTCCCCCGCCATGATATTGCAGGAATATTGCTAAAAGCGGCGTAAAACCATACTCACTCACTCTGTGATTATGATCAGTGTTTATTTTTATGTCGACAGATTAGATAGCGTGGGATGAATTATTTCTACTGAATCACTACTTAGAGGATGAGGATAATATTAAAAGTGAAATACTGTTTGATCTGTAATTTCGTTACAGTATTTTAGCAAATTGATATATATTTTTCTGTACAAACATAATCATGTCATGAAATGAACAAAAAACAAACTAATTAATGGTCAGTTCATGTTCATTCTGCATGTGAATCTATGTGATCAGATAATACTAAAACAGCCCATGAAGATATTTCAAATTTGAACACAAATGCCACTGATTCTCTGTTTGGTCATGAGTATTATCAAATCATATATTTATACACATTAACCTCATTATTTAGACTAAACCCACTTACCGGTACATTTTGAAATCTAAAGTCTTGCTGAACTAGTACTTATCCTGTAACTTAACACATTTATAACGATATGTTGTTCTGTGGTGTCATTTACACAACAACCGTAAATTGCATGTCTAAATTTTGTATTGGTCAATCATCAGGCCAAAAGTCGTGTGACCCAAATGTCCTGTTTTTTCCGTCAGCAATAAAGAATCAAACTGAGTTTTCTGAAGCAAATATGAAGGGATTTCAGTTCATCTTCACAATTCTTTTGGAAGACATTTCCCTGGGTTTTTTCACAAAACCCTTAAGATGTGCGGAGCACATGGATATAACTATCTTGTTGCATGGTTTCCGTATCATTTGTTTCATATTTAAATTATTACCCATAGGTTGAGGAATGACATAAAAATCGTATGTGCACTTGTGCAAATATCACTTCTTGCGCGCCAGTGCTTTGTTTACGTCATCCGGACGGCATTGCTGACGTCATTCGAGTGTTATTGTGACGTAATGTCGGAATGACATCATACAAGAAACGTCATTCGACGATTGTAGTTTTCTAAAACGGCGGTCGTGATCAGAGCATTTTTCCGAAGGGGAGCTCAAAAGACATTATTACACACGCATGTGTGTCATACTGATGCGTAAAGATTTAGAGTGACAAAAAAAACTATCCACAAAACTGTATGACAAGAGGAATTATTTTAAATTTCCAATAGTCTCCAGCAGACAATTGCAGACATTTGAACAGGGCCTAGATTTTCGAAACGATCGTAGCCCTAAAATTATCGTAAATTTACCGTAAGGAAATCGTAGGCTATCGTAGCATATTTTCGGAACTATCGTAGCTCTAAGATATCTTAAGATTGTCGTAAATCTAAGAAAGCCCCATACCTGTCGTAAGTTTATTTTATCTTCATCCAAGATGGCGGCATACTTTTCCATAGATATTTTGCCAAACAATAAGTCTGCTTTATGTTTAAACATTGACATTTCATTTTGTAAAACTGAGTGATTCAAATTGACACTTCGAAAACACGAAGAAAGCATCAAGGATTTCACGTCAAAAATGTTCTTAATCGCGACAGCGATCCACATAACTGTGGAATCGATAGTTTACAATATTTGTCTATCCGAGTCCATGCTGAAGAAGTGTGAAACAACATACCTTTTCGATAATTTGGGAAGGATAAAAACGGAAGCTGCCGGCAGGCTACAGTAATGACCGTGACCTTATTGATAACTCAGGGGGAGCTAATCTTAGTTCAAACTCTAGTTGAGAGTGGTTTCCCTTTGTATTCGCCCGGGACACCTTGCTCTATGTTACAGTTTTCATAAAGCGCAGAGTTCCGCTGTTATATTTTCTGGATCGCATGTGTGTCAATGCTTTAGTCTTTATTTTCGCATTTTATAAAATTATATGACTCTACATATGTAAAAAAAAACATAAAGGTTTCGCATAAGTTTTTTACATCTAAAATCGTGTG